TCCCACTTCATAGCTTCTGACAGTCTCTAAATAAGAACTCCATCCTCCCTACAAGGCCTTTGCCGAACTTGCCAACTTGAGTCACAAACCCCTTTCCCTCCCTCCTGCCCGTCCACATCAATCATTGTCTTTAAAACAGTCGTCCCAAAGGAGTCGTTAAGCTTAATCTGGGTGCATCAATTCTTGGATTTGTGATTCTAGACAAGCATCTTAAATTTAATTACCCATGATCTTACCTTGTCACCCCCGTCCCCTTTGACATCACTTATTTCTCAGTTTCTAACATTATTGACATTCCCGGTTTTTTTCTGTTAGTTTATGCTGCACACCCTGTGGAAGATCAGCGATAATGATAACAACTACAAGACTTCGATGCTCCCTCGTTACACTGTGGTTTCCAACAGCACTTACTCGCTTTTCTTTCCAGGAGTACTACGGGGCTGCCTCCTTTCGGAAAGGAAACCTCTGTTGATGAGTCTTTCTTTTGAAGCAAGAAGACGTTTTCCTTGTTCTAGAATAGTTTCCTTTAAATATCGCTCTCATCCAGATGGGTTGTATTGAGGTCCCTATGCCTGAGATGATTTTAACTTAGTTTGTCTTATGTTACTTTGTCTTGTGTACGTTGGACATGTTATCAGGAGAGGTCAGGCCCTGAGGAAGGACAGCAGACTTAGTAGAGCATCAGCAAAAATTAGGAAGAACCTCAACAAGTTGGGTTGACATAGTGTCTGCAACAATGGGCTTAAACCCAACTGTGAAGATGGGACAGGGCTGGGTCATGTTGCAGGCTTTTCAGTATAAGCTCACTGTGAGTCAGAGCCAAATTGAGGGCATCTAATAACATTTTAATGACACGCACATCCATTAGATAGACCCAGAAAAATAGTTCTCCTGTATTTTATGCATACTTTACTTATTAAAACTTGAAATCTGTAGAACAGTTGAAGACTTTTATTTGGTTATCATACTCATAAAATGAGTCCATCTGCGTTTCGTCTGGAATTTCTTGCTGAACACGTTTTTCTCCACTTTGAGTCTTAGTCTGTTTGCTCGTTGACTAGGTAATAGAGACTTTCTTCTAACCCAACTAGAGGAAACTGACATGAACTGTTAGAAATAAGATTGGCCAGTATAATAATTATAAGATAGTGGTTGTACAGCATTTTTATCCCAAGATTTCTTGTAGCATATATCGTATTTAGAACCCAAAGAAAAAGTAGGATCCTAGGAAATAAAGGGAACAGAGGTGGCTGTAATCCTAGGTAGATGGTTCGGCCATGTTTTCCAGCCTAAAAGACTAGATCCTACTTTGAGGCCCAAACCCTGGTAAATAAGAACAAGTATTGAAGACCACAAAGGACCCAATAGAGAGTATTAGGCAAAAATTTAAAGATGATAAACATGCTTAACTTGTGAAAGTGAGAGAAGGGAGGTGTTACAACAGGTAAACTTTTTCTCTGGACTTTTGTTGTTGCCTATATTTTCTTTTAACTAAAAGTTTATTTTCACGTGTCACAATACAAACAAAAATCATTTTGTTCTGCTTTTTGTCCACTACTCCACTCCAAAAACTATTCTCTTTTTGAGAGAAAGGGGGAGCCGGTCTTCCACCTTGTGCTGTTAGAAAACGTCCAGAGTCGCAGCAACATATCTCCGGTGAGAGGGTACAAGTAAGAAGAAAGTGATACAAAGAGGCTGTGCTCTGCCTTTATCTGTCTGCTCGAGTCATTCCTGGCCAAGTGGGCACCATCATAGGACGGGCGGGGGGCCACATCATTGGGGGCTCAGGCATCATTGGCATGTGGCCCCCCATGGGTGGCCTCATTCCAGGAGCGGGTCCCACTGGCATCATTCTAGGAGGAGGAGGGCCCATCATTGGCATCACAGGTGGTTCCCCCCATGTGTGGTGCCGGCATCATACCAGGGTGAGGAGGACCTGGGAGACTAGGGGGAGGTGGGATCATCACCCCTGCTGGAGCTAGGAGGAGGAGGGCCCATCATTGGCATCATGGGTGGTCCCCCCATGTGCGGTGCCGGCATCATACCAGGGCAAGGAGGACCTGGGAGACTAGGGGGAGGTGGGATCATTGCCCCTGCTGGAGGAGGAGCAGAGAATGGAGTAGGAAGTATCTTTCCTTGTTGAAATGCAGCCGTTGTTTTGTGAATCAGGCTCTGAGCCTGCTCTTCCATCCATTTCCGATAGTAGTCTTTTACATTCTCTTTGTGTTTCCTACCACTGCACTGTGTCTTTCTCACACATGGAGAGTCATGGGTGAGGTATGTATTGCAGTAGTCACAATAAAACTTAGGCATGTTGCTCGATCCATCATTTGCTACCTATATATTTTTTAATAATTATACTCATATATATAACCTAATAAAAATATGCCATTGAGTCCATTTTAACTCAGAGAAACCCCGAAGGACGGGATAGACCTGCCCCTGTGGGGTTCCAAGTCTGTAACTCTTTATGGGAGTAGAAAGCTTCATCTGGTGGATTCAAACTTTTGACCTTGAGGTTAGTAGCCCCATGTGTAAGTTTTAAAACTTTCTGACATAAAGAAAAAGCTTTTGAAAACTTAGAGGAAAATATATCTACGCATTATGTTTGATGACTATAGTGGGGCACTTTATAAAAATTTAAATATTATGGGAAACAAATGAAGTAGATTTTAAACAAAAACAGCATTCGTCATTTACCTGAGATAAAGTCTAAATTCCCTAGGATGGAATTGCACAGCCCTTGACTTTTCTTGCCACACCATTCTCCTCACCTTTCACCTCAGTAGTTCCTTCTTCTACCGCATGTGCTATAAAGCTCCCTAGGTGGCAGAATATTTGGTACTTGGCTGGTAACCAAGTGGGTAATGAAGTGGGTGGTTCAGATCCACCTGGTGACACTGGAGAAGAAAAGGCCTGGAGATTTCCTTATGTGAACATTGCAGTCAGGAAGACCATATGAAGTAGTTCTACTCTATAGCGCATGAGGTGGCCATGCGTCAGAAATGACTGCAGCACAAGATAATAAGTCTGCATCCTGCACCCACTACTTGTAGGTTCAACACACCAGCCAGGCATTACTCTACCCAGAATGCTCACCTTCCTTCCCATATCTTTGTTCCACCTCCCTGCAAGATCTATAGATTATTTTCAAGACTTGCTTGGATCCACAATCAGTTCCCATGGAAGGAAGCAGCAGTCGAGAGATCAAAAGCCAATGCATTGCATTAGGTAAATGTGCTGCACAAGACCTTTTTAGACTATTAAAAAGCAAGGATGTTACTTTGAAAACTAAGATGTGCCTGACCCAAAGCAGGGCATTTTCCACTGCTTTGTATGATGTGAAAGTTGGACATTGACTAAGAAAGACAAAGAAGAATTTGTACATGTGAATTGTGGTGCTGAAGATGAATATTGAAAGTATCATGGACTATTAAAAGGACAAACCGATCTGTCTTGGAAGAAGTATGACTGGAGTGCTCCTGAGGGGCAAGGATGACAAGACTTGGCCGTACATACTTTGGACGTATTTTCAGGAGAGACCAGTCCCTGGAGAAGGACCTCATGCTAGTAAGGTGGAGGGATGGTGACAAAGAGGAAGGCCCTCAAGGAGATGGATTGACACCTGGGCTGCAATAATGGATTTAGGCATCGAAACCATCAGAAGGACGGCCCTGGAGCGGGCAGTGTTTTGTTCTGTTGTGCATTAGGACTGCTGTGGGCTGGAGCTGACTTGATGGCACCCAACAACAACAACCCCACCTTCTAGATTCTTAATCACACCACACACCGGTTTTCCACGAGGTTTCTTAATCCTTGATTGTGTGTATCCTCTGTAGCCGGCAGGGTGCCTGACATATAGCAGGTGATTAGGAGATGCAAATTAATGAATAAATGATATAAGACAGAGGGCAAACCCTTTCTTGATGTCCTCAGTGCCTGATGGAGTTTGACCTGCGCCAGGCACCACATGAAGATTTGTGGAATGAAGGAGGAGATAAGCTAGAGCAGGGTTGGTGCACTGTGGCTCAAGAGCCCTATGTGGCTCTTTCTTTTGGTATGGACATGTGGTTCTGAAGTAAAATTAAGAAAATTTAAAGGCTATATGCAGATCATGGTGATTTCATTTGTTTGTAGAAATATATTTCTCACTTTTGAATACGTTTTAAATTGTGAGGAACAAGATTGGCTCTTCTGTCTCAAAAGTTTGCCAACCCCTGAGCTGGATCAGTGCCTTACAAGCTTACAAATATAAGAGAACAATGAGGAGTCAAAAAAGCAGTGAGCTGTTGAAATCCTGCCTTGGTGAAGCCTAGTGGAAATAGCAATGGCTCGGAGTCAGGCTTGTTTCAGATCCTGGTGGTTCTGCTTGATGGAGTCCTCGAGTGATTAAGTGTTCAACTGCCAACTGAAAGGTTGACTGTTTGAACCTAGTTCTAGAAGTGTCTAAGAAAACGGGCTGGTGATCGGCTTTTGAAAGGCCACGTTCTAGACAGCCCTCTAGGCAAGTCCACGCATCAGATGCGGTCACCAGGAGTTGGAATGCACTTGATGGCAGTTGGCTTGGCTCTAACAGAACAACTAAGTCAAAGTCGGGCCAGGATCCTCAGGAGCTCCGTGCCCCATAACGAGGGCAGATCTAAAAATAGACAACGCTGACAATGGTGCAGTGCTCCAGTAGCATCACAAGTTCACCTAGGTGTCTTACCTAAATGAGAATATGATTATCCTGTACGATAAATGAATTAATAGAGCTAATAAATGGAACAAAACACTTAAACTATTTAATAGTTAACTTAATAGAATGAGCTATTATCGTTTAAAGTGTGCAATACAGTGATGCCTTTCTTGCTAATGAAAAAATTATTAAACATCGCTTTCCAAAATGTCCTTTCCTTTTTTCTCTCCAACCCACATCATGGAATTTCATGCTAGGTCCTTCTGGTGCGCACATTCAGCTGACCCACTTCGAGATCCCATGACTCAGGCTGGGTTTAATGAAAAGAGGGATAAGCTGAGTGGCACTGAGTAAATTTCAACATCGATATAAACTTACTTGTACAAAGTATATCATTTACTTATAGATTGCCACTGGGGTATGTTGTTGTGACATTCAGTTTGCTGCAGTTATTTGACAGTGTAAGTATCTTAATGAGTAAGATTTTGCTGATGCAAGGTCCTCCTTCTCAGAAGAATGCCTTTTCACTTCAATCCCTGCTAAACTTATCAGTGGAGCATTATGGGATAGCCTAAAAACAACTGCACATGTCAATTTGATATATGACAGACTTAGCGCTCATCAACAGTGAGGAAGGGAGCAGCAGTTCATAAAACGGTGCTAGGGAAATTGATGGTTCAGAAAGAAGACAATGAAAACAGATCTATGCTTCACTCACTAAAAACAATTTGGGTGGGTTCAGGGACTTAGATGTAAAGGCAAACTTTTAAACTTCTAGAAGAAAA